AAACCATTTCAGGTGACTACCTCTTGAAGCTCATGGAGAGAATGCCAAGAGTGTGCAAAGCAGTAATCAGAGCAAAGGGTGGCTATTTTGAAGAAACTAGAATATAAAACATGTTTTCAGTTATTTCACCTTTTTTTGTTAAGTACATAACTCCACATGTGTTCATTCATAGTTTTGATGCCTTCAGTGAGAATCTACAATGTAAATAGTCATGAAAATAAAGAAAACGCATTGAATGAGAAGGTGTGTCCAAACTTTTGGCCTGCACTGTAGATTGGCCCCGAGTAGTCTGCATCCAGTGATGTTCAGATGAATCCCATCACGCTGAAAGTGATCCTTACAGTTCCAAAAGATGTTAAAATTGTCAATAAACTTTAGCCAGTAGGTGTGGATCCTGTCAGGTCCCAGTGGTGTCCAGCTCTTCATACCTGATACTCTGTCCTGGATGTTTGCCGTTGTAATGGTAACTGGCTCTTGTTCTGGGAGATTGCTGTAGTCTGCTCTTAGATCCACTACCCATTTAGCATCTGTGTTATGTGATGCCTCCTTCTCTCATATGCTCTTCCAGTATTGTTCAGTTTCAGCCCTGGGTGGATCTATTCTCATGTTGTTATCTTGCCACTGAGGGTCAATTTGGGTGGTTCGGTGGAGAACATCATATTTATTCTTCTGGAGAGAGTGAGAGTGAGAGTGAGCGAGTGAGAGAGAGATGTGCTGCTTAAATGACACAGATTAAATAGATCGTGGGCTTTTTGTTTTTATTGTTAGACCGATTCTTATTGTCGAAATATTCTTGTAGCCTATATATTTAGATCTGGAGCTATTAACAAAACATTCAGGGCTGAATCCCCAGACGCCCAAGCCTATCGACGCCACTGGTGTCTATACACAGTGTCTGTGAAGTGCATGTCTGGCTTTTTTTTTTGCCTCCAGCTAACCTAAAGGTCACAGTTTTGTAATGACGCTCAATACAGAGAATGATTGATGGACATTAGCAGTAAACAAACAAAAAAAAACAAACCCAAAAAATAATTTTTAAAAAAGAAGAATTTTTATTTTCTTCCCATCATTTTACTGGGCTTTTTTGTGTATTTCAGTGTACTTGTGCAGTAAGCAGCTCATTAGCAATAAAGGTTTTAGCTCATTAAATATGATATATTCCTTTTCTCTCTTTCATCTTCTCAGCCGAATGGCCAAAGACACTCACAGGCCTACCTAGCACATCAGGCACCACAGCCAGCATAGTAGTCATCCGAGGAAACCGCATGTATGTGGCCCATGTTGGGGACTCAGCAGTGGTATTAGGGGTCCAGGATGATCCCTCAGTCCCGTTCATCAGAGCTGTGGAAGTCACACAAGACCACAAACCTGAATTACCCAGAGAGAGGGAGCGTATTGAAGGTCTGGGAGGGAGGTAAGGCTTAACCCACAAAACACCTTGCATCTACATGATATTTAAATACAACATTAATTTTAATTGTTTTCTCTGATGTTGTGTATTTCCTGCATTGAAAAGAGTGGTTTTGCAGCCTGGCCAGCACATCATTGCTCAGAGGACATAACCGTAACTCTCCACAAAAAAGACAAAACTTTTCTGTTGGAGGTTTCTGTCAAAACTTTAAATAATTTAGCTGCCAAAGGGGTCCACATTGAATCAAACGGTTGATCATTTGCTGTGACATTAAATTGAAGTTGTAAATTAAAGTACACAGTGGAGCAGATTGTTGCTGGAGGACAAAAATTAAACAGGATGCTGCTGTCTTGACAAGCGCTCTGGGATATTTTGGCTTCATGTGTCCTTGCCGAGCAGATCCTATGATAAGTCATTTTAGCCGCAGCCTGTTCTTTTAAGAACTCCTTGCTTTGAACAGGTGCAGCTTATTATATTGCGACATGCTGACAGAATGAAACCATTGTAGAATGTTGGAGAGAAAATTTGCAGCGGTGTGAACTGGCCAGTCTGTGCTTGACTCAAGCTGGCTGCTTATGTCACCTGCAACTCGGTAGCTGATTTTAGAACATAAAGTACGTCACCTGTTTCTATGGCCAGTCAGCTTGTAGTGAAGTCCGCTGGCCAAGTCAAACTGACCGCAGACGGCGTGCTCACTTGTTGTGGCAGTGGCTCCGTCCCTGCAGAGCCCTCTGTTTCCATCCTCACGGTGTGCCAGTGTCGGATGGTGGGTCGCTGCTGCTGCTCGTTGTAAGTGACATATGAGCCCACCCTTAATGTCAAAAACTGGCTTTTGGAAACTTGTGGATTCTTTGCTTGAAGTCAGTGGCAGCTTCTCTCTTCTCTCCCCTTATCTGCTAACAGTGTTATCAAGAAATCCGGAGTGAACCGGGTTGTCTGGAAGAGGCCGAGGCTGAGTCACAATGGCCCAGTCCGTCGCAGCACTGTCATTGACCAGATACCATTCTTGGCGGTAGCGCGAGCCCTAGGTAGGAAAAGTAACATCACAGTTACTGTATTTCAGTGAATAACCTGCTTGAATGGCTAAAATAATATTACTGTTCTTGTCTTGTCATGAAAACAAATGATAAAACCCTCAGTTTAATGAAAGCATGCTTATAAGAAGGAGCTATCAGTTACATCAGACATGGAAGAGAGTTCAGGGAGTTTTGTCAGATGACTGTAGATCATTGCTGAGATGGATGCAGTGGCCTATTATCATTGGTCTTCAGCCTAGTTCTAAGGACTAATCCATTCAGGAAAACAGAGATTCCAAGGGCCAGATAAAAAATAACCATTTTATTACTGCCTTTTAATTTGTTGGCATTCGTAAAAAATCTTGTGAAAGCTTTTTGTCAACAAGTGTGTCAGACATGCTGCAGCTAGGGCTGGGCGGTATGACAATTTTCATAGCACGTTTTTAAAAAAAAGTCATATCGGTTTAACGGTATTTGTCAGGAAAATGCGGCCCGAGCCATAGAGTTGGGCGGTATCCAAATTTTGTTACCGTTAAACCTTCCCCACATTTTCCAGGGGTATACGGTATTACCGTGACTAATTAAAAATCACTTTGAAGGGCTCGGGGGGGTCACCAAAATGTCGGCTTGCGCCTATACCGTTCAAAAACAGAATAGCAAACATTACATAGGCCTAAGAATACTGAAAAAATAACAACAAAACGTACAACATTAACAACTTTTATTAACAAATACGCAAATGCAGCAGTCAACCAAACAGAATGAAATAACAACAAATTGTCTGTGGTCTATATTCCACTTTCATTACAGTAATCGACACAAATCAATTAAATTAAAACACAGCCCCATAGCACCCAATACTTACAGGCTTGTCAAATAATAAAAATGTAACAGTAAATAACAAAGGCAGTAACGAAAATGTGTGCTATACAGCGTATCCTGAGACTGCAACGGGTACTGTCCGTTGGTTTATTTTTAGAATCTATCAACATAAATCAAATAAAAGCACAGCTCTACAGCATCCAGTACTACGGCTTATCAAATAAGAAAAACAGAACAATAAATAACAAGGCATAACCGAAAATGGGCATATATAATCCTATCCTGAGAAGGCAACGGGAAATACTGTTCGTTGGTTTATTTTTAGAGCCTACCTTTAGTTTGAAAAGTTCACCCTCTCCAAGTCTGAACATTTCTGTCCGTTAGAACAGGCTACTCCTCATTGAAAATGACATAAAAACAAACTATAATGATAATTATAACAGCATCCTATGGTATGCTATGCTATATCCTATTCAAGTTTTTTTTTTGCCAGAAAAACCAGCATGTTGTGTTTTTTTTTTTTTTGGGACCAACTCTCTTGATGTGCGGCTTGCTATCTTTTCTTCTCTTTCTCACGTCCAACCTGTCACGGGATGATGTCACATCCAAAAACTTCATCAAATGTCATCTCCCGAATCAACAGTTAAAGGCGCTGTATGTAAGAATGTGGCCAAAACGGTTACTGCACTCAAATTTAAAATACTGCCGCGAGTCGTGTCCGCCCCCCCTCCCCTACAGATTCGAGGTTGCTGGACAGCGGCACGCTGGAGACTGATTTGTTTGCCTACGTGCGGCTGCCGTGGCAGGGCTGTGTCGCCTCGTCCTTGATCTTCGGTTTTCCAGCGGACCGTTTGAGCAAGTCCGGCTTCTCTGCTGCTAACGCTGCTGCCGGGATACAGCTCACGAGGAGCCGGCTGCTAATGCTATGTACCGGGACACTGCTAATGCTGCTTGCTATGGATGCACCGAATATTCGGTAACTGAATATATTTGGCCGAATATTGCAAAAAACCACACATTCGGTTTTGATAACGCAATCAAACAGCGTGCCGTGACGGGCGGAATAAAACGTCGGCAGTGTGGTGATCCACCCGTCACGGCACTCGCATTTGCGACTGAAAATAGTTTTGAGCGAGCAGAATAGGCTTAAATCATTCAGCACGCTGTGCGAGCAGCCTACAGATTTCAACCAGAAGCAGAAACGTAAGGCGAATCCCATCGGTTGGGGGTTGAACGGGGGTCACAGACACAGACGGTAACGTTAATGTATTCCTGTCAAATACGGCGGCCATCGGCTTACCCGGCGACGGAGAAGTCGGCTCCAATAATATCGTCTTCTTGGCGTCATGACTGCCCAGAAGTACCTGAACAGCCGAGCCAGCCTAACACAGGTATGTATGTGATGTGTCAGAGGAGAAATGAGCCTTTCACATTTCTGTCTTTGTGGCAGGTAACGGCCCACAAACCTCACTGCACTTCAGGGACTGTTCATTACTTATGAAGGGACTGTCAGGGGAGGAGGGTGGCTGGTTGATTTTTATTTTATTTATTTATTTTATTTTGATCCCCCCTATGTTAATCACTTATTGATGCTGTTTTTGAAGTATGCATAAGTCAATAAGTAATTTATTCCATTGAAATATCATTGATGTATTATAGAAAAGTGATTTATCTTTTTATAAATGACAAAAGGCACATCTGCCTCATTTTTGCTGTGGTATCGTGATACTACTCAGAACCATGATATTTTCATTGGTATCGCACAGTGGGTCCCAATTTTGGTACCATGACAACACTAATCTGGAGGAGGTTCATCTGCAAAAACTAATGAAAAACTAAACAACGATATTCGGTATTCAGTACTTGGTATTCGGCCAAGCGTTTAATAATATTTGGCTTTGGCTTCGGCCACAAATTTTCATTTCGGTGCATCCCTACTGCTTGCCGTGCTGCTGTAGCTCAGTTGTAACTGTAACTGATGCTGAGACTCTACTGACTGCATGACTGGTAGATGGCGGTGGGTGGCGCAACAGGCCAAAACACAAATTCAAAACATAAACATGATTTGCGGACTGTAAATTTTTTTTTAAATGCGAATATTCTGGCTGTACTCTTGTTGTCGGTGAGATCAGTATGTTATATGAACATTATTCCTTAGTCTCTGTGACATATTAGAAGGATTTTATGACTATTTGCTTTGTATTTCTTACATATAGCTCCTTTAAGAGAAACATTATAGCCTACTATTAGTTTTGAATTGTAATAGTATTAAATTGAAAACTCAACCACACATAGGCTACATAAGTACTGGACAAACACTCATTATTTAGGCATTAAATAAATTATATTTAATATTACTAGTCCATACCCATTGGTAGCTTTGTCACCTTCTACCTATGCCAATCCTCAATGCCTATGTGCAGTTTCACATAGATTGACCAAGTCAGTGAGTAGAAAAACGTGAGACAGACAGAATGACTGGCTGAAAGAACGACACACTGACAGTTTTGATTGGTTACATGACACAAGTGAAGCCAATCAACACTGAAGCCTCTCTACAGTGCAGCATATAAGAGGAGAGGAGAGAGCCCTGTCTTACCTCTTCATAAACTAAAGTCATATTATTTTGTGCGACAGACGCTTCATATAATAACATAACAATATACTATTTATCGTGTTATGTCATCATGTCATTTCTGTCTCTACATGGTCACGTGTTAACAATTCTCCTCTGCTCTCTGTATCACACACGGCAGAGTTCAACAGGTGGATGTGGTAGTCTACCAGTAGAGTAGAGAGAGAGCTAAGTAGCGTTGAAGTACAGTAGAGCAGGGCAGAGAGATGGAAGCAAAATATATTAAACCTGGGGTTAATACAGTTGAACTGATGAGAGGGGTGAAAAATAAATAGAGGTGGGCATGGCTCAAGTAGGGCGCAAAAAAATTATAGACGGAGAACAACAAAGATTGCCGCAGCCGCCCCCCCAGGTTTCAGGTTTCAGACTCAGGAAAATTTTTCACTTTAAACCCTGACACTGTCATTTTTGTGTAGGAATTAAGCTATGATAGTGGCTTAAATTAAACAGTTTTTATAGGGCAAGTAAAAACAGACTTCGGGCAAGTAGATCTCTGACCAACTTGCCTTGCGGGCAAGTGAAAAAAACCTTAGCGTTGAACCCTGCCATGACTTAGTCATACCAAAAATTAGAAAAAAAAACCCAAAACATTCGGCCACAGGGGGAGCCACAGCGATCGGTCACATTTTAGCCATTTTTAAGCGTTTTTCTGTTATTATAGCGCCACCCAGTTGCCAATTAGAGTTAAATTTCTCCAGTCACCTTGAGGCGTCCTGTTTTACATATCTACTAAATTTAGTAAAAATCGATATGGCGGTTAGGCCTAGATAAGAAATTAGCTCTCTAGCACCCCCATTTTGTTTGATGGGGTCAATAATGGAGGGGTCCCCTCAGATTATGTGTGGTCTTACGCCTACAAGGTTGTGTGGTGATCTGTGAAACCCTTGAGATGTTATACACCTTTATGTGATGAGCCACGCCCTCCGCAATATTCATTGCCTTATAGAAGCTCAGTTTTAGTAAGTTTTCCAACTTTTGCCAAGAGGGAACTTCTGGGTCATCGTGTTCTTCAGCAACGTGTACAGTTGCTTCGCTTTCAGGACTGTCTCTGGCAGCCATTCTCGCCTCTAAACTTTTCTCAATGCTCTCACTCTAGCCAGCTCTAACATGCCTGTGGTGTGCAGCGGTTAAATGGGTCCCTGTTGAAACACTTTCCCACCGCACACGTTCCGGACGTTGTTTGGGCTATTCACCGGTATTCCGGTATATGAAAATTCATATCATAACGAAAATAAATACCGGTTTTCGGTATGAACCGGTATACCGCCCAGTCCTAGCTGCAGCACATTTTCATTCAAGTGCCTGTATTTTTGCCAAACTCAGAAATCTGCCTTTTGTACAAAAATTTTAGACAAGTGAAAGAGAGGAAGGGCAGCAGTCATCATTGAGGGCATTTGTTAAGACCAATGGTGATTACAGTTATGTTTCTCTTCTCTGCAACAGGTGATCTGTGGAGCTATGACTTCTACAGCGGGAAGTTTGTAGTTTCTCCAGAGCCAGACACTAGTGTGGTGACCCTTGACCCCAGAAAACACCGCTACATCATCCTGGGCAGCGATGGTTTGTGGAACATGGTACCACCTCAAGAGGCTATCTCCATGTGTCAAAACAATGATGAGGCAATGGTGAGTGGAGAGCTACATTAGAAAAGACTTGTTTCTGTCAAGGCTCTTGTTCTTCCTGTTTGTCTTGTTCTCGTTCCTATTCTTGTTGTTGTTGTTGTTATTCATCTTCTTCTTCTTCTTCTTCTTCTTCTTATTCTTGTTTTTATTATAGATAGATAACTTTCTTTCTTACCTCCCTGGACTTTTTGGTCTGTTGTACATTAAAGGTTACACAAACAAAGGGCCCTATCATGATTTATGAAAAATAATCTAACAGAGTAGTTTCAACCTCACATCAGACCATGTCAGTTTTGTAACAACCTTCCATGCTGCAGGCACCATGTGGGGTATCGAGTGCCCGGCAGCTTGTCAGCCATGCTCTGCTGCGGTGGCGCCAGCGCATGTTACGTGCAGACAACACCAGTGCCATTGTCATTGCCCTGCACGAGCCTGGGACCTCCCAGGACACGCTGCACCATGAGGAGGTGCTGCTGGACCTAGCCAAGGTGTCCCAGTGTCCTCCCACCTCCATATCCCGTGCTGACACGCCTCTCCTTCAGGTGAGAGCAGGATGATAACAAGTTTATTTCACACCTAAGAATTCCCAAATGAATACCCAAAGGATATTGAGGAGTGTAACAAACTTAGGGCTTGTACCTTTTATTTAGAGAGGGTTCCAGTTCAATTTTTAACAGTTAAAAAAGTTGAGAAAGGGTTGAATTCCTGCATAGTCCGAATCATTGCATATCCAATAAGCATTTGGCTGACACTGTGTAGGACTATAACACTTAAGTTTGCATGGTTTTATTTCCCTATGCACCTGTCTAGGGCTTAAATGACTCCTCTGGTAACTCGAAAAATTCCATTACTAAAAAGCCTTGAGGCAAAATATTTGCCTCCAGGCTTCGTTAAATCCAGAACAACTATACAGCTTACTGTGTTTCACATGGATGATTATTTCTGTTTCACAACCCGTTTACGTTACTTCCGCTGTAGAGCTGTAAATTAATCGTCAATAGTATGTCTGACTTCGCAGGTAGGCCTACGTGTGATGAATAGCCACAGCCATTTGTAATGGTCACGCATGACAGCTGTTGTGTAGGAGAACCACGTTGGTGTGAGACTGTCTGTAAAACTGCACTTCTTCTCTGCCGTATTTTGGATCAACAAGTCCAATGAGTGGCACAGATATCGATTTGCAAAGTGATTGAAGGGTGTTTCTGTATCAATTTATGTCTCACTGTGGGAGTGTCAACAAAGTTCGTGCATGTGCGCCCAGCTCCACAATGACTGAGATATAAGTGCATGTGAGGCTTTCTAAATCTATAAGCTCCATAAGTTTAACATCCAGGCGTAAAGGGACCTTCACATAACTTTATCAGTCAGTCAGCGGGTCAGTGAACACGCCAACAGTGGTCCTAAGCGTTGTCTCCGTAACCATGGCAACGATGATGCTGAGTGATAGACCTGCCATTATGTGACATTCTCCTCTGCAAATTCTGATTTAACCCTTAGATGCATAAGTGGGGTCAAAAATGACCCCAAGGGTTGTTTTTCTTCAATATCTATGGAATTAAAAGTTTATATCATTTCATATTCCAGGTATTCCTCATAAAATATGTTTTTGAGATGAGGTCATTTGCATTTAAAAAATTTTTTTTATACATTTTAAGAAATTGTTGTTTTTGTATCACTACCCCACTCTTCCATAAGTGGGGTCAAAAATGACCCCAAGCATTTCCTATGGAATATCAAGGGTTAGACCTATGAATCTTTGATTCTTATCAACTGTGACTGTCAGGTAGCCTGTACATTTACTGTCGCACTTACACATCTAATGCCAGCAGTCTCACCACCCGGGAGGATTTTTATACAGCAACATACATCTAAGTATTATATTCTTGGAATACATATGACGTTAGAAAATATGAACTTATTTTCCACATCCATGACTTTTGTGTGATAAGTATAGTATTATTGTCATCAAATCAGCCTACTTTGTAGTTAGCTAACACTAGCTAACTAAGCTAGCTAGTGTTAGCTAACTGCAATGTAGGTACTAGTTAGCTAACTACTATGTAATTTTAGTACTGTAATGTTAGCTAGCTAACATTACTGCATTTGTTGTGTAGAGATAAGCAGCCTTACTATATTTATAGCTCCCTTGTAATAAAATCTAACCATAATTGTGTGTGTGTGTGTGCGCGCGCATGCCCACATGTGTGCTCACGTGTTAGGTAGCCTATTATGCTTTTATTGATTATTCAGTGATGTCATTAGTAAGCGTGTGTGTGTGTGTGTGTGTGTGTGTGTGTGTGGTTAACATTACTGCATTTGTTGTGTAGAGATGAGCAGACTTACTATGATATTTATAGCTTCCTTGTAATAAAATCTAACCTGTTAGGTAGCCTATTATACTATTATTGATTATTCAGTGATGTCATTAGTTGTTAAAATGTTAATAAAAAGTGATAAATGAACATGTCAAACATGAAATCATTCTTTTGTTGACCAAAATATAATGCAAATCATCATCTTTAACCAAAATGAAAGAAATTGCTTAAATTTATCACATAAAACGCATTGATTCTAATTGGGGTCATTTTTGACTTGGCTTTACATTCATACGGGAAGTGAACACTGGCCTCCTCGGTAAAAGTCAGTGATTGTTGGACCCATCCCCAACCCCTCCCGCCTGCCCTATTTGGACTTATGCCCCCTTAACTTCATCGGGCGGCGTTACAGAATAAAGACGACTGTTATCTGGTCATTGGTATTCGACGACTTCGGAGTGAGGCTGGGTTGAGCATTTAGACAGTTGCAGCTCCCACAGATGGTACTTGATAAATCATGCTTCTCCAGATCAATAATGAAAATTCAGATGATGGGCCAAAAATTTTACTGACACATTGTGAAGATGCCATTACCTGTACCATCACACATGCAAGATTAATATGCTGTTGTAACATGACAAATGTACACACACACCTGATATAACAGTAGGAAGTAATGTGGCATTAACTGTACTGTACTGTACATGTATCATGTATTGTTTAGCACAAGGTCCAGTATAATAAAACACCTCAGACAGCTCAATTCAGTAGTATTGGATTGCATTATGTCTAGGGATGCCCCCCCTCGCTAGTCGGCACCAGAAATATTAGTCAGTTAAACCTATTAGTGTTTTATTAATGTGTAAGGCTGCTTAACTGTCATGCAGCCACCCGCCACTAGCGGTTGCTACAGAGCCGTCAGACAGCAGTCCCCATCTCCGCGGTAATGCTTAAGTAAACCGCAGTTTTAAAACATCACGGTGGGAAATTGGAGAGATGTCCTCTAGCAAAACCAGCGCGGTTTGGCAGTACTTTGATCTAAAAAATGAATTCAGCAGCAATTAATCTTTTTGAGATGTTTTATTTTTTGTTAACTTTAAAGCTACTCTTACCTTTCTAGCATTTCACATAGCACTTACAAAAAATTTGAACATCCACAACTCCTGCCTCCCTCCAAAGTCCCATCCCCCTCCTCCTGCAACTCCACCTCCCTCCAAAGGCCTACTCCCCCCTCCTCCATTATGTCCTCATTACGTCTATGATAGACGTAAGCGTTGGCAAGGTAACGTTAGATACACGAAGAGGAGCATGAGTGTAACATGGGTTAATGTTACAACCAAGACAGTCAAACGCAACCCTGGAGTAGGGATGTAACGATGTGGAAAATTTGATATCTCGATTATAGTGACCAAATTGTCACAGTAAACGATAATATCACGATATTTTTTCAAGCGCTGTAAAATGTCCAAAAAATAGATATATTGAAATAACTTCACTAAATCTTGTAACTTCCTTATCATACCAAAATGTTAACAGCCAAAATCTTATATTAAAATGAAACTTTTACATTAAAGGGGCATGGGATTGGCACAGCAACAGAAAATTTTATTTTAAATGACAAAATATGTAAACAAATTACAGGAACAAAGCTTATTTGTCTGGTGCATTTTAACAGTCAGCAAAATATGTAAACAATTTATATAGCACGAGAAGAAAAATATATATTAAACAAAACAATGCAAGAGTAGAACAAAAAAACATACAATATATAGAATAGATATCACAAATGTGCAGGAGAAACCAAAAAAACCCTAAGGGCAATGGTCATCATTACACAGAATAATTCACACATTAGAAGTGTGCATGTGAGTGAGAGGAGTCAGTGCCTGTATGAGAAAAGGAGTGCATGTTCTCGTGTGTGTGTGTGTGTGTGTGTGTGTGTGTGTGTGTGTGTGTGTGTGTGTGTGTGTGTTAGGTCAAGACTATGAGCAGTGAATTTAATTAACCTTATAAAACCGAGAGCCCCCATTAAGGCTCTCGGTCAAAGGTTAACACGGCAGCGTTTTATGTTGTTTCCTTGAGCTTATGTTGAGAAAGCATAACTGGCTGTCTATATCGATTCTAGCTCGCCATACAATAACCATAATCATAGTGATTCAATCATAGTTGATCTCAATTAGCATTACGTTATGTCAGTTTATATTCTGTCGGCTCCACTCAGTGTTTTCAGCTCCGTTTCGTTTTGAAACACTTAACGTTAGCAACATAGCTGCTAATACGGCTATTAGCTACTCAGCTAGTATTAGCTCCTAAGTGTCTTAAACGAAAACGGAAAACCTAGTCGCCGTTTAGGAGGACAGATACGGCTCAAATGTCCCGTATACATCCGAAGTGCCGCTGTCACCACCTTCCGCCATGTTTTCATTCTTTGTGTTTACACATGGTACGCATTCACGCAGCGCCTGCATTGCGAGACTTGAATGAGGCTATTACATATCCTGATTATCCACCGCGATAATGCAATTAATTTAAACATAAACGGTAATTCTTACCATGTAAAAGTTAACCGAAATTTACCGTAATATCGGTAATTGTTAAATCCCTACCCTGGAGTTTTAAAACTCAACCGGAGTCAGTGATGACTGATGAGTTTTAGAATAAGGTTACAGTGCTAACGTTAGATAGTAGTGTTAATGTTACTAGTAAGTGGAAACACACAAGGAAGATAACGTTAATGTTTCAGAGGCTACGCTACAGTAGGCTAACGTTAGCCATTAGCAACTGGATGCTGTTTTGTCATAATGTTATAGCTTATGTTACATTAAAGGCATTCTAAAAATACCTGTCCAGCAGAAACTCTGTGACCATCTCGTCCCTTTTTTGCTCAGGATAAAGCTGCATCAGTCTTCGCCATTGCTCGAAAGCAGAACGAGAGTGCAAGAGCAAGTTCTCTCTTAGTGTTGGCTTTTTCTGCAATATTCTTTCTTTTGCCAACTGATTCCCTGTTGGAGCGGCTGGAGGTGGAAGCAGTTGTCCGCATTTGTCTGCCATTGTTACTAAGGCTGTAGTCTCCTGGTCGACGATTCGATTATTTGGTCGCTATGCTCTCGCCCAACCAAATTCTCATTGGTCGAATGATCGCCGTGTTACTTTCATAAGGAGAAAAGTGCTACATCAACAGCTTTCCAGGATTAATCCATTATTTCCTGCGGCGGTTGGACAGGCTA